GAAGAAGTAGAAGGTAGGTCCATAATGTACATGGCGTATGAGTCTGAGGTTTTAGGGACTATGACAAGAACTCTGCTATTCACACCATTAAGGAGGGGGCCCATGGCAAGATTTTAAGCTGAGAAAGGACATTACTTGAGTCTGGTTTTAACATCCATAATGAGACTCTTTTAAGTCTCTTCACGATCAAGGCTTCCCATCAGCCCAGAAGATGGTCAATGTGATGTTTAGTTATCTGTGTCAATTTGACTGGGTCACGGGGTGCCTAGATATTTGGTTACACATGATTTTGCGGTGTGTCTGAGAAGGTGATTCTAGATGAGCTTCACATTGACTGAGTAAAGCAGATCTCTCTGCCCAGTGTGTGTGAGACTCGTGCAATCTTTTGAAGACCTGAATCAAACAAAACAGCTGAGCAAGAAAGGATTCTTTTTCTCTACCTGAGTGTCTTCTGGCTGGGAGGTTGGTTTCCCATTACTTCGGACTCAGACTCTGACTGGATCATATCTATTAATTTTCCTGCTTCTCAGGCCTTAGGGTGTGGATGGGAACTGGTTCTCTTGGGTCTTCTTCTTGCAGGTCTCGGGTTTCTCGGCTTCTGTTAAGCTGGTGTGGGGCACTCACTGAAATATGCCTTCTAAGATGGAGGATAAATGTTTGAAATTGGTCTCCCTTATGACCCAGAAGAAAGCACAATGCCTTCTGAGTCAGTCAGTTTGGGAGGCAACGGTTTACCCTTTGGGGTGTGTCTATGATCCATCTGCTGAGTGTCCCAAATAAGTTTCTTGTTTCAAGTAAACTGCAGACCAGGAGAAGGTCCTGTGTCAGTTCCAGTACCCTGCAAACTGCTGTGCCCTTGGGCCATGTGATCCAGTGGATCCAATGGAACTTGAAGTGTCGGTGGCAGATAAAGATGCTGTTTGGAGGTATGGAGCCTTGGCAGGCCCCTAGAGGTGAATCACAGTATAGGCCCTTGTGATTTTTGAGGAAAGCCCTGCCATCCTACACAGGTAACTACTCTCCTTTTGAGAAAAAAGCTCTCGGCTTGCTACTGGGTGTTAGTAGAGACTGACCGTGTACACATTTGATCACAAGGTGCCATGTAACGATGCAACTGGAGCTGCCCACCATCGACCGGGTGTTACCATTTGTCTAGAAATTGGTCATTATGGCCACACTGCATCATCAAATGGAAGTGGTCTATCTGGGATCCGGCCTGAGCAGGCCCTGAAGGCACAAAGTTACATGAGAATGTGGCCAAATGCCCAAGGTCCCCATTCCCGTTACACTGCCCACTTTCACCCATGGCCTCGTGGGGGCCTCTGATGATCAGTTGACAGAAGACGAGAAGACTCAGGCCTGGTTCACAGATGGTTCTGTGTGGCATGCAGGCTCCACCCAAAAGTAAACAGCTGCAGCACTGTAGCCTCTCTCTGGGATGTCCCTGAAGGACACTGGCCAAAGGAACTCTTCCCAGGAGCGGATCTTCAAGGAGTACACCAGAGTGCTCACCGAGCTTGGAAGAGGAAACGGCCAGACATGTGAGCGTGTGATTATAAAAGTGATTTCTGTGCTGTGCTCAATAGTTTGGCTGAATGGTGATGTTTCTGGAAGAACGGGATATGAAAATTGGTGACCAAAAATTAGAGAAAGAAGAATTTAGATAGACTTGTCTGAAACACACAAAGACAGCATGTCCTACGTGAATGCTCACCAAAAGTGCAACCTCCAGCACAGGAAGATTCTAATAATCAAATGGATAGAATGATCCATTCTGTCATGTTGGATGCATGGGTCAATCTATGATCCCTCCCATTATAGAATGATTTCATTCTCCAGCCAGTCTCTTTCCCCAGCCAATGTCCCACAGTCCCATGGGCTTGAGGAATGGAAGATATGCCTGGACTCAGCAATACGGAACTTTCACTCACCACGCCTGATCTGGCTATATCCACTGCTGAGTGCCTCGTTTGCCTACAGGGGAACCAACAAGAGTCTCTGACCCCCTGGTGGCCGGTTGATTACACTGGGCTTCCTTCATCATGAAAGGGGCAGTGTTTGTTCTTCTCTGAATATAAATTTGCCTGCTTTGTATGCAATTCCTTTGCCCAAACTACCATGTGTGGACTGGCAGAACGTCTTCTTCTCCATCATGGTGGTCAACACGGCTGTGTTTCAAATTAGGGAACTCACCGTATAGCAGAAGGAGTGAGGCAAGGGATCTACGCACATGGAGTTCACCAGTCTCACCACGTTCTCCACAATTCTCAAGCACGCAGCCTGATGAAGCAGTTAAATGACTGTTTGAAGACCCAGTGATAGTGCAGATTGGGTGGACTTACTTTGCAGGGTTGGAACCAGGTTCTTCAGGAGGCTGTGCATGCTCTCAATACCTCCAACATATGTTGCTGCTTCTGCCACAACTAGGATTCCTGGGTCTAGGAAGAGGAAGTGGCAGCACTCACCATTGTCCCCAGTGACCGACCGACATTTATGTTTCCTGTTATGTGACCTTACGCAATACTGGCCTGGACGTCTTAGTTCCAAAGGAGGAAATGCTTCCACCTGCAGACACAATGTGATTTTACTGAAGCACAAGTTAAGACTGCCACCCAGCCACTTGGGCTCCTGAGTCAACTGGCAAAGACAGAAGTTACTGTGCTGGTGTGGTAATTAATCCTCACTCTCTAAGGGAAACTGGAGTACTACTGCATAGAGGTAAAGAAATGTGTGTGTAGAACGCTGATAGATCCCATAGGGAGTCTGTGTTACCATGCTCTGTGATTAAGTTCATTGGAAAGCTGCTAATGTGAGCCAATTCCAAATACGAAATCTCTTTATGTATTTCTACCTCTATCAATTATCTCTCTTCATCCACCTATCAAGCCATCATCTGACATCTGATACATCCATGTATCTATCTTCTATCCAGCTGTCACCACCTATCACCATTGTGTGTCTTAAATGCCTCTAAAATCTATTTATATATGCATAAGGTCATGGAAAAGTTCCATATAAAATCTGCATCAAAATATACGTATATGTCTCCTATTGGTTCTGTTTCTTTGGAGAACCCAGAGTAATAACTACTACAATCCTAGTATTGTGAGAATCCCCCAGCCCTCTCTCTCTCTCCACTCATTCTGTGTGGGCTTGAAGTCCATTAGTTGCCTGCCAGACACCAACATCATCCTCATGTATGTCTCCTTGATTAACCTGGGTCTCTCTCTCTCTCTCTCTCTCTTTGTGTGTGTCATGCACTTGTGTACAGAGAATAAACCCCGAAGAAGGAAACAGAATGGGAATGGTGATTCTAGGACACTGGGGAGCTAAAACAAGGGAGAAAGCAATTCTTCTATCGCTACAAAATAATCAGGAGCATAACGGTAATCGAATACCGAAGTAAACTGGTGGGCCTTTGGATTTGACAAAATGGGCTGAGAAGTGACCAGTGCCACGGGTTTCAGGAGCTGTGTTGCTGTCAGACAGGACTACGGAAATTCAGTGTGTGTGAGTTCCTGATTCAGGTGTAGATGGAGGTGTAGACGTAGAGACAAGGTACAGGGAGAAATGACGAGTCCTGTTCAATGACTGCAGTGGCCCCTATCCCCATGTAGATGTCTCATGAAAATTTGACCTGAAAAAATTCAGTTCATCACTCATCCTAACTTCATTTCAAGTACTAAATAGCTACGTGTGGCCTAGTTTCTACAGTATTCAGCAACAGGACATTTCCATACTCACATCAAATCCTATTACACTGTGCTAGAATTGAGAGTTTGGGAACTGTGAAAGTGAAGAAAGAGGGCAGAAGAATGCAACTCGTAGGCAAATTTGTCTGGGTGCTCTAGAGTGGTAATGACGAAAAAGTGCCTGTGCTGGAAACATCTGCATTTAACGTAGACAGCTAGCATGACCGTTAAATGACACCGGGACTAAAGCCTGTCTGCCCCTTATGTCTCACAGTCTGTCTTCAGGGAATAAGATGAAGCCCTGGAACAACAGGCCAAAAATGTGCCAGTAGGAGGCAAGGGCATATACTGTGTCCATGGGGTGGAGCTGGCTCAGTAGCCGCTTAGATTGGCACAGGTTATGACAACCGAGGTTCAGGGGCAGGGGGAGCTCTTCCTAATACCCACGGTGGAGTGGAGCTTTTTCACTTCAGGTCCCCTCACAGCAATGAACCATGCTTGTAAATGGTCTGGGGGCACCAAGTGAAGTGGGATATCACCAAACTCAATCCAAAAAAGACATTTAGAGCATCTAAACTCTGAGAGAACAATAAATGCAAGTGCGACACATTACGTCTGTGCTAGGTACCTGAAGGAGATTCAGTCCATTTACTCCTCCTCCTATTATCCCTCTATTTTACACATGGGGCATTTGAGACACAGAGCAGGACGTGACAACGACTGTAACATGGGCGAGACTGTGTTCAGACCTGTAGTGCAGGTTCAGACCTCTATTGCCTCTCAAAACAAATATGACAAGGAATTGGAGGGGAAAAAAGGTAGGATAAGAACTTGAGTCAGATTTAAACACATGTGCAAGGATGGCCCTATTCTGTGGCCCACCGGTGCCACATTTCACCCTAATCAGTGAGGACAAGAGGAAAAGGCAGTAAACCCCACGCTAAGGAGAACAGTAGGAATTAATCTTTTCTGTCTCCTAACCCTGGATTTGGGGCAAATTTCATGGTGCTGGGGTGCAGATGAGCACTTTGTATGGATGATCACTTGAAATCTACAGAGCTACAGGAGCCCCACTCTTTCACGGAGACAGGAGGACGTGAGCTCTTGCCAAGACAAGGGCAATGCACATCTCAATTAACTACGCTTTATAAAGAATTCCAATTCTAAACGGAAGGCAACAGCAGGTTAAAAAAGGAAATTCTCAAAAGGATGTAAGGCCTATGGACCTGGCTGAGCCCAGCTGCTGCCACAGCTACTACGGGTCTGTCGAAAGAATGCCTGAGGATGAGGCACAGGAGAACAGAGGGCTCAGCAGATGGTGTAATGTACATAGGAGACCTTAACGTCTTTGCCACTCTCATCGATGCAGTACCTCTCAAGCACCAGTGCCTGCACGTGCTGGCCCAACATTCGTTTTGACACACAGCTCAATCTGGGGTGAGAGAGAAGAGGGTCTGGGAGGTAGAAAGCAGGTAGAAATGGGGCAAAGAAGGTAGGGGAAACTGTGAACACGAGTGGTATAGCTAGAAGTCGAGGCTCCCACCCCACCACACAGGGCGTCCCTCAGTCTACCCAGTAGACAACCCACAGCTGGCATGAAAAAAGCAGTAGAGCATGGACACTCCTTGGGACAGCATGGTGATCTCTAATTTGTGTTCTCTCTGGAGACGGTAGAAAGGAGGAGGGACAACAGTGTCACTGGGATGAAGAGTACTAGTCACCTGTATACTCCACCCCCACCCCCCGGGGTAGTGAGTAAAGAAGTAAAGAAGGGGCCTTGCCTTAGAGCAGTTGAGGAACTGTCTGAGGGTCATCTCTTCACCATTAGGCTGTAGCCCCTGTACCTCAAAGTGATCTCACAATGTCCACTCTTGGTTATTGTACTGTGGAAAAAAAGCACAAGGGAGTCCAACAGAGGCCATCCCAGATGCTTTTGCTCCTATCAGTCAACTCGATGTGTGAAGTTAGATCAATCACAATCCTCTTTTGTTCAAAAGTTCTTCCTCATTCAATCATGAGTAATGGACTGACACTTTTAAAGGGACAAACAAGGCCCCACTCTGCGGAGACCCTGCTAATTTCTTCACTCACCTCCCACGCCCTTTCCCTTCCCAATCAATTCCCTCTAACTGTGCTGGCTCTCTCCACATTAGTTTCAGTACATGCCTGTCACACTCCTACTTTGCATAAGTTCAAAAATCTTGATGATAAATTAACAAACAGTATACCTCAGGTATATGTAACCCAACTGTACAAAGCCTGACCTGGCTTGGTGAACACTGCAATTCTAGAGATAAACACATACAAACACACAACAAGAAACACAGACACAGCCTCAGTCACTGATGGCTAAGACCAACGGTTTGCATACAGGCATAGCAAAGGGCTCGGAGGAGCTGGAGAAGGGCAGGGCCAGGTTGATGAAGCTGTTCTTATAGGACTCAAGCTGTTGGTGTCCCTGTACCACCTTGTAGAGCTCCAGACACACAAGGCCAACTATAGCTGTTGAGGTTGTGGCAATGGCTGGGATGATCTTGCCCGCAACCAGCTTGCTCTGTGAGACAGAAGGTGACTGGGTAGCCATCAGAGACGTTTAGGGACTGCAGAAGAGGCCAAACGTGGGAAGATTCAAGCCTGGGAAAGGGTGAAAGATAAATTTTAGACTATCATTACCTTATGCCAGTCTACAGGCAGGAATATTATAGTTTTCTGCCTGGAAGCTGGATGCAGCCACAGTGAAATCCACATGGACGTTGCTGTCATCATCCTGTTGTGAGTGGAAATGGAGCAAGGATAGGGGAGACAGGAGTGGAGGGAAGAACGGGTTCTTGCCTACTGGAGACTCGAGTATTTTCCACCTTGGTTAACTGCCAGACCAGCCAAAGACTCCCCCAGACCACAAAGGATGATCACTGAGTAATGTGGCAGGCCTATAATCCCCACACAAGCCCAGGATGCCTCAGCCCATCCTACCCTGCCGAGGGGTACCCCCACCTAGCACCTTCTCAAAGTTGATGGGGTACATCTTGAACCCAGGGAGTATCTCTGGGCTGGGTAGCATGGCCTTGAGCTGCTTGCATCATCTGCAAAGAGGGAGGGACATGCCAGTCCTTTAGGTTCCAGGACAGGGTCTAAGGCCAAAAAGCAGGAGCCCAGGATGGCCAGAGTTGTTCAGGCAGATAAAGGATTTGAAAAGAAGAGGTACTGTGCAAAAACATAGTGGGGAGGAGAAAAGGTAGAGCAGGGAACACCCCAGAAAAGACAGAAGTAAGCAGGTGTGGAGATTTGAAGAGAGAGGCATCTGCAAACACTGGGGAGAAGAAATAAAGACATTCACAAAGGGTAATGTAGGCAGCAGCACTAGTCACAATACCTAAGAGGCGGAAGCAACCCAGTGTCCACTGACAGAAGAAGAAATAAAGGAAATGTGATCCATCCATTCCATGGAACGTTACACAGCCTTAAAAAGGGAAAACATCCTGTCACTTGTAACAACATGCTTATGCTTAGCTAGAGTCGGAAAAACAAGTTTTACATGATCCTACTTTACGTGACAATCTACAAGAGTCAAAATCACAGAGATAGAAAGCAGAACGGTGGCTGCCAGGGCTGGGGGTGAAGGGGAATGGACTTATTGTTTCATAGGTAAGTTTCAGATTTGCCAGAAAGTTCTAGAGCTCTGTTGCACAACAATGCCACTGTGCTTAACACTACTGAGCAGCACACACACAACTGATTAAGACGGTAAATCCTATGTGTTTTCTTACCCAAAAATTTTGCAAAGGCATGTAGATGGAGATATAACGGTAGGAAACCTTGAAGAGAACGAAGAAGAAGGAGACGGAGAGTCACAGAGGAACGAACAGGGAGAAACAGGAGGGAGATATAGGGAAGAAGATATATGAAGGGGCACTGGGGAGAAATGCAGAAGGGAAGAGGAGAGAAATATGGAAAGGGATAAACAGGAGGAAATCTGAAGAGGGCGACCAAGGGGAAGAATGGTGGAGATAAACCTAAGAATGGAGAATGAGATGGGAAAATACTGGAAGAGGAGACAGCCAGATACAGAGAACATACGAGTATGTATTTGGAAAACAAAATGAGGGAGACGGGGTGAGGAGGGGAGAGATACATAGGGAACGAAATGGAGTATATATACAGAGACGATCCAGTTAGAGGCGGATTTACAGAGCATGAGACTACCTAATGACTATCTGGTCACCACCGTCTGTTTCACAGAGAAGCTGACTGCCGAGAACATCAGTTGCAGATGGATGGAGAGATGGAGAGAGGTGCTGAGGGAGTGGAAGGAAGATATACAGAGGCTAACAACTGAGGAAAAATGCAAACAGAAGGAAGTGGAGATCTGGAAGGACATGAACCAGGGAAGAAATCAAGGCAGAGAGAATACTTGTGGAGGTCAAGTATCTCTCTCCCCCATAAATACAGAACAAGAAGAAAACAGACAAAAGGGAGCAGAAAACAAGGCAAACACACTCACAGAAAGATGAACAGTTTGTCCTCCTGACAGTCAGAGTGGGAGGGAGGAAGGTAAAGAGTGTGACAGAATCAGCCTTTAGCAATCATTCTTATTTTTACTGGAGGAAGCGAGGACCAAAGGACGGTGTGAGTAAACTTCAGGGCTGGGGTCTCAGAACAGGGCCAAGGGCAAAACACAAATGAGGAGATCTGGATGGTCAGGGCATAAGAGCTGTGGCTGGCACTTCCAACATTAACCATATACTTTGCAACTCTATTTACTGTCTACTGCAGAAATTCTCTGACATAAATCTTAAAAAGAGCTTTCGTTATGTGGGATTCAGTTACCAATATTGCCTGTATTAAAATTTAACTTGAGAAAATTTAAAAATATTATTAGTCCAGTTGAAAAAGGAATAATACCATTGCACGGTATAAACATTGCGAGAAATAACTGTTCAATACAAAACTTTAGTAACGACAGTCAAATTGTATTTACATTTTTGCAAATCTGTTTTAAGTTATACAGTCTCTTAGAAGACCTCTGGACTGTTCTCACTACTACTGAGTTCAATCTGATCTGTGTTTTGTTGCGGGTCAAAGGGATATTCTATCTCACAGGAGAATATTTTAACACTATTTCCAGATATAACTCTTTGTGTTTAAATTAAGACATCGACGATAGACAAGTGACGGTGTTTTAAAGCCATCTGCAAGGTAGAATCTTGAATCCATAAGAATCTACTGGTTTATTTTGCATTTTGAAAGGATCTTTAACTAGTGCACAATTTTGCATCATCGTGAACTAGTCGTTTGCCCCTGTGTCACTGAGTTAGCGAAGACTTCCTAAAGTGGAATGATAAATTCCACTTTCACCTGATAATCTCAGACTGAAATAGGCTAATAACGTCTTAGTACTTTTCTTTGAAGGGCTGTGTTCTTGCAGACTTCATGAAAGTGTGTCTTGGACCTTAAGACGACCTCACACCACATTCTGAGAACCTCTCATTTGCTCTGTGTCTTCCCACTAGACAAGGGTAGGAACTGTTCTTCTGCGACCTTATGTATTCCAAATGTCTAGAGAAGTACCTCGTAGTTACGTGATAAAATGACAGACAAGACAGACTCAGAGTAGGCAAACACGACACTGACCTTTATAGAAGCCTTCCCAGATAGATCCCTCTATAACCAACCTAGATTCCACAGTCCCACATCGGCAATGACCAAAAAAGTGAAAGGACACAAAAGGGACAACCAAGGTGTACAACGACAAATGAAATGAATGTACGTATTAACTACTTGACTTAAATGGTAGAGAAAAGAAATGAGGGAACAGCAAAGGAAAGATTTGTGAAGACTGATAACAAGACAAAAAGACAGAAGAGGAGTGAGAGGAGCATTCACCCACTCGCCATGCCTGCCCCACTCACCGTGACATCCCGAGGCCGGAACAAAAACTGTCGGTTCAGGTTGGACTTCTCAATGGCGTCCATGTCTGTAACGGTGACTGCTCCCCTCTCCCCACAGCCTGGACCAATCATGGCAAAATTCTTGAGCAGCTCACAGCCAACGGTCTCTGCACCCACCTGGGAGGTGCACAAGGAGAGAGACAGAGGCTGGTTAGGGCAACTGAGTGTAGCAAAGCCACCTGTTAAGTCCTCAGTCCCCTCAATCCCTCCCCTCGCCCCACCCTGTTGAGACAGCAAGAGGGTGAGAGGGTCTAGTACTCCACAGTCAAGTCCCAGGGCCATAAAAACCAAGGGTCACCTAAGGAAGGAGGACGTATGGGGGGAATAAAGGAGGCCACCAGAGGGGAGGATAAGGAGACGTATCAGGCTTGTCCTTGGCATGAAGAAAATAGAAAAAGAGATGAGATGAGGATATAAGAATCAAGATTCTCCCTCGTGAGATGGGAGGAGACTCCAGATAAGGTGGCGATAGGCTAGGAGAGCTGAAGGTAGCTGGTGTCCAACGTGGTCACTCACCAAGAGGTAATTCTGCCTGCCCAACTTCTCTTGTAGGTCTGAGCCAAATATACAGCCACCTGCCCATTGTAACTGTTCTGGCACAGAGTCGCATGAAAGAGAGGATCAGAGAAGAGCTGTTTTACACAGACTTGCAATAACCCCTTCCCCATGGATCCCACCCACATACCGGGAGACACTTGTCCTCTATGAGGACCTCTTTATCCTCGGGGAGACACTCAAAGGCATCAAAGTACAGCCACTGCATAATAGGCATAAACTTCCCAGAGCAGGCCTGGGGAGGAGGAGAGAAAGGGCATGTGGTCGCCAGTTAATTAAACACTAAAGATAGAAAGGAAGGCACTTGGCCCATCCCCAGCCCTGCCCTTCTCCACCCACACCAACCTTCATGAAGGCCTTTATAGGGATCAGATCCCCAGCAGCCACGTATGCCAGTTTCTGAATGAGCTCTTCATCCAAGTTGCCCTGCTGCACCACCAGCAGGGCTTAGGCATTCACCATCTGTGCTAGGGTCACTAGTTCTGCTGCATCCTCCTGATAGGGCAGAGGGGACCAAAAGAGAACCAGTCAAGCCAACCGTGGGGACAGGGAGAAAGGGGGAGAGAAAGCAGACAGACGGAAAAGAATGGTGGGGCTTTGGAACAAGGGCTCCCACCCATGAACCTCAGAGTGGGGCCGAGGGGAACGGCTGTGCTGAGCACAGAACTGGTGCAGGGCCTGGAAGCCAATGTGCAGCTGGGCAGGGTGAGAGTACTTGGCAGCGTCTGTTACCACAAAGTCTGGCTCTGCCAGTGAGGCTGGCAAGGATTTCCGTGAAGAGTGAGATATCAGGCCCTGAGAAGTGAAAGACCTAGATGTGCCTGCAACCCTACAGCCCATCCCCCACACATTCTCGCAAAGCTGATCTTCTTAGGTACTCTGACCTGACTGATGATGCCTCCATGGGTATAGTTAGAAAAACTAGAGGTATTACAGATACTGAAGGCATAGGGATCTAGGGGAATGAACGGGATGGATGGGTGTCTGTCAGTCCATTCACCAACCCTCCTGCCCTGTCCAACTCTCTAATCAACAGCAACACCAAAACAAAAATTAAAAAGCTGTTCCCACCCAGCTCAGACATTGGGGACCGTGGCCAGACCTAGTGCAGACACCACCAAAGGTACCCTAGGCCTAACTATCACATCGGAAAATACAAAAGTAAGCCCTGAAAAGTTCCAACAGCAACTCGGTAAATTCTCTGGAACAAATCTCAGAAATATTAAAGAACACACACACACACACACACACACACACACACACACACACACACACAGCAGAAAAACAAAACAAAACAATAGGCTCCAAAATGTAGCCTTCACAATTACCTTGCAACCATCAAAAATTACCAGACCATGAGTCTGTGACTTTTGTACATTTGGGGGGCATTATTGCTTCCAAAACATGTTTTGGCCCCACACCTTGGTTGGGACTCATCACCTGAGGCTTCCTATATTTTCAACATATAGCAGTCTTTGTGTTTCAGATCTACCAAGTATCTCCTTAACATATTCATGATTTTCTAGAGATTCTTTTTGACGTATGGAACATATCTGTAATAGCTGTTTTAATGTTACTGGTCTACTGATTTTACACACTGGATGAATTAACAAAAATGCTCCAAAAGATGAGCCAATTAGACATAGAAAAAGAAAATACCCAAAATACTACAGAGTCAAAAAAAAAAAAAAAGTAAGTGGCTTAAGACACGTGTAATGGATTTCTGGAAAGAGATGATTGGGTCAGAGGGAGTGAGAAAATATTATTGTGAATAAAATTATGACCAGTAACTTTTCAAATATGATAAAACCATAAACTCACAGATAATATAAATGCAATAAACACCAAGCCAAAAAAAAAAAAAAAGAGAGAGAGAGAGAAAACTACACTAAATACATCATCATAATAACATTGCTTAACTTCAGTGAGAGAAAATTGGTAGGCGACATACAGAGGAACAAAGATAAGAAAGACAGCAGTCTTCCGTACATGGACAATAACGCGAGCAACAGAGCAACATCTTTAAAGCAATGAAAAAAAAAAAGTCAATTCTAGGTAAACATGGTGGAGTGAGAGATGTCCTCTGATCTCTCCTCTTGAAACAACAATAAGCTGAACATCTGAAACTCAACAAAAAACACCCAAACTGCACACCAGCACATCTGAGCGTGGGATCTGTATATAAGAGCTACTGCGAGTCAGAACCCCAGGTGTCAGGTGGTGGACTGGGAGAAAACAAAGAAGTTGCAGAGCTCCCTGCAGGAAGAGTGGGGGGGAGATGGTGTGGAGACTTCCCTGAACAGCCCCGCCTGGAAGTGCTGTGAGTTCCACGCAGCTGCAGCAGGGCCCAGTCATCAGGGCAGAAAGTAGAGAAGTGAGACAGGACCACAGAGAAACAATAGTTGGTTTTTACCAGCCCCGGCTGCAAAACCAAGGCTGAGCCGCAGCCCTCAACTCCCAACCCAAAGGGCCCCTTTCCCCATACCCTCTGAGAACAATCACCACAGAGCCCCAGGGGAATCTGAGCAAACCCTGCTGAGACTGTCGCCGACACTGACAGGGACTGAAACCGAGGGTAGCCAGCGTGATCAAATATCTACAAGAAAATTTAAAAAGACATTATTTGTTTTATGTAAAGCAGGGATACAAGAGGTTTAGATTCCACCTACTGGAAACCAAAAGATAAACAACTTTGCAACAGGCTAAGAACCATTATATAATAAATCTTTCTGGAAAAACAGCAGAATACATTTCCATTAATGTCCAGGTGGAGAAATAGTCCATTAAACACCATGAACAAGCAAGGTAACAAGGCATCTGAGAAAGAAAGAGAAAAATCTCCAGAAAGTAAGGTTACAGACATAGAAATAAGTGATTTAAATGACAGAGAATTCAAGACAGTATTTCTGAAAATACTCAGTGAGTTTCAAAACAAGTCATATCAACAACTTCAGGAATTGAAAAACAACTAGATGAGCAGAGCAAGGAGATTGAAACCCTCGAAAAGAACAGAATAGGTCTTCTGGAGATTAAAAAAGAGACACACCACAAGAGTTGAAAAATGAAATAGCAAGCTTGGGAAATAGAGTCGACCAAATGGAGAAAAGGATCAGTGATATCGAAGACAGAAATCTAGAAGGAAATCAGAGGGAAGAAGAGAGATACCGAAGAACAAAAAAGAATGAAAGACGAATACAAGAACTACCTGATACCATCAGGAGAGGAAATGTAAGAATAATGGGCATTATTGAAGGCAAGGAAAGGAAGCGGGGACTAGACAGCATTTTCAGACAATTAGTGAACAGAATTTCCCAAACCTAAGAAATGAACTAGAGCTTGGAATTCAAGAAGTCAACAGAACACTCGATTATCTCAACTCCAAAACGGCCTTCACCAAGACACATTGTATTAAAGTTATCAAAAATCAATGGCAAAGATAGAATTTTCAGGGCAGCCAGGGAGAAGAAAACAGTAACTTACAAAGGAAAACCCATTAGATTATCATCAGACTTCTCAGAGCAAATTTACAAGCCAGAAAGGAATGGAATCAAATATTTAAACTATTAAGTGAAAGAAACTACCAGCCTAGAATAATGTAACCAGCTAAGCTCCCCTTTAGATATGAAGGAGCAATTAAGACCGTTCCAGATATACAACAATCAAGGGAATTCTCCACTATGAGGCCTGCACTGCAGGAAATACTGAAAGGGGTCAGCTTACCTAAAACAAAATGAAAAAAATAAAAAATACATAATTAGGAGTATAGTGACTATCGGGCAAATAGAAGCAGAGGAGTGCAATCCTTACTAAGAACAGGGCATTAAAAGCTTAAATAAGAAGAAGAGAATTGCTATAGCAAGATAGTAATAAACATTCAGGATACATAGGGACAAATTGAGATAACAATGACTGAAAAGGGGAGGATTCAAAGATCTAAATTCTCAATGGAGAATGGACATAAGGCATGTGCAGAAGAAAATGGATGACTCTCTCTCTCTATATGTGTGTATATATACACACACATACACTCATACACATTACATATATATCCACTATATATATACACTATAAATACATACACACACACACAAACACACACGCACACACACTATATATACGCATTATGTGCATCACTATTCTTTTCATATTCGTAATGGTAACCACACACCAAAGATTCAGAACTGAAGTATATAACATAAAACAAGAAGATCCACAGGGAAAACTCACAAAAGCCAACCAAAATAAAGAAAACAGAAATACAAGGACAAAGAAGCAATGGAAACAACGAGCTACCAGAAAGCAAAAGATAAAATGGCTATTCGAAGACCTCATATTTCAATAATCACCCTAAATGTGATATCAAACTATAATTTGCATCTGTAAATTATGTAATTCTATAAACTAATGTTACCCCAATATACTTAATTTAAAAAAATTATCAAAAACCAATGAAAAATGGAGATTGGGGAAGATGGTAGAATAGGTAAAGGCAGGGTTTGTCTCCTCTCAGGTCCTCATTGAAATTACAACAAAATTATAAAATTATCAATGTGGAGAATGACCAGAAGTACAGCTGATCATAACACCTATGTCTGATAATATAAAGAAGCCACATCGAAGGCAATTCTGCATAGGCAACAACCATCTGTGGATTGCTTTGTGGTTCTCACTGGGTAGCCTTGAGCAAACAAAAGCAGTGGCTGACCTTGTCCTATGGGGGAGCCCCTCCCAAGGGGCCACAAAACCAATGCACCTGGAGGCTGGCACCAGACCACAACAGAGCAACTCCGGACTAGTCCCATTAGTGATACACACAAAGGGTGGCTGCCACAGGTACAAAAGCCTGCTAGGGAAAATCCCACTCTGAGGGGTCAGCCTCTCTTACCCTGTGTGTGCAGCCAATTCCCATAATTAGTCAGCTTGAGCATTAATCCCATCCACTGATCTACTAACAACAGTACAGGGTTGGTGACAACGGAAGATTGCACACAATGCACACAAAGATCATGTCCAGAGGCCCAAGCATAAGGGATCAGGCAGAGTGCCCCACTGGGCCACACAAGATGCCTTACATATTTGGCCATCTGGCCAAGACTAAGAGATGAAACAAATATTTCTGACACATAGACACATTCCCAGAGAGTCTAATAAAGTGAGAAAACAAAGAAACATGCCACAAATGAAACAAGAGAAAACTCCAGAAAATAAGCTAAATGAAATGGAGGCAAGCAACCTACCAGAGCCAGAGTTCAAAATAATGGTTATAGGGATGCTCTGTGGACTTAGGGAGAGAATGGATGAGCACAATGAGAACCTCAACAGCATAAAAAAGGACAGAGAAACCACACACACACAAAAAAACAAAAAACAAAAAAACAGACAGAAATGAGGAATACAGTAATTGAAATGAAGAATACATTAGAAGACCTCAACAGTAGATTGGACGAAGCAGAAGATCGAATCAGCGAAATGAAAGACAAGGTAGTAGAATACACCAAATTAGAACAACAAAAAAAATTTTTTTAAATGAGGATAGTTTAAGAGACCTCTGGGAACAATATGAAACATAAAAATATCCAGATCATAGGAGTACCTGAAGAGGAAGAGAGAGAGCAAGGGATTGAGAATCTATTTGAAGAAATAATGACAGAAACCTTTTCTAACCTGGCAAAGGAATTAGACAAATTAGTTTGGGATGCACAGAGGGCCCCAAACAAGAGGAATTAAACAGAATTTCACCAAGACAAATCATAATTAAAATGCCTAAGGTCAAAGACAGAGAGAGAATCTTAAAAGCAGCAAGAGAAAGGAAGCTAGTCACTTACAAGGTATCCCCATAAGAATGTCTGCTGACTTTCAATGGAAACTTTACAGGCCAGAAGGGAATGGCAAGAAATATTCAAAGTTATGAAAAACAAGAATCTACCATCACAAATACTTGATGCAGCAATGCTTTCAATTAAAATGGAAGGTGAGAGAAAGAGCTTCCCAGACAGGAAAAAGCTTAAGGAATTCATCATCAACA